AAAAAAAAAAAAAAAAAAAAAAAAAAAAAAAAAAAAAAAAAAAACACATTGGATCTAGAATCCAGACTCTTAAAAGCATCGACAAGAAAAAGGACTCTTGATTCAATCAGAATCTAGCTTAAATCAGGAATCAAGCCTCTTAATTGAAGCGGATTTATGCGGTTTTGATTCAAGCAAAAATCCGATTGAATCAAGAGTATTTTTTTGTCAATGTTTTCAAGAGTCTGGACTCTAGATCCAATGTGTGTGTTTTTTTTCCAGTGTATATCTATACTTACGTTAAACAAATTTTATTTCCGTGCTTTCTTTTTTAGTCGGAAATGTGTGCAAGTGCTCGATATCTCTGTCCACATTTCGTGTGTATACTTGGTATCCAAAGCTTGTAAACGCCCCGTCGGTTGCATTTAAGTTCTAAAATGAATGGAAAACAAGACCAATGAAAGAATTATCCTCCGCACCTCGTTGGATAATTAGTTACGTAATTAATTGCTTTCCAATCTATCCTCTCACGCGTGGAGACTCCTGTGCGTTCTCGCATGCGGGTATGTTCAAAATGAAATTGTCTACAACTGGCATTTCAACCGCACCTCCACTGCTGTAATTATTCGTCACAAATAATCGAATGATCAATCAAGTTGAGAAGATCCTGATATGATCAAACCCAAGCACGGACATGTTGACTGCTTTCCTACGAAAGGATCCTTTTAAAAATCTTGGTCGTTTTCCAGGCGTAGTCACGCAAAAAAAAATCGGATTCAGAAAAAATTTTTACAAGCGAGAAAAAGCGACAAAATCTTTCATTTCCTGAGAGTATAGTTATTTCTAATTTTGTCGTCTCTTAGTGATACAAGAGGCAGTACCTTTAATTAGTCAAGTTAAGAGAGAAACTAAACACCCAATGTGGCCTGAAACGGCGCGGCGCAGAGAGGAATGATGACGAGGACTTGAGATAAAAAGGAGAAGCTCTCGGCGCGGCGGCGGTCAGCGTGTAGCACATATTAGCGCCTACAAGACTGCATGAATACTTCACGCATTGCGTCAAACGCTGTGCGGTCAGCAGCTGTCGGTGGGAAACGCATAGCGCCTACAAGACTGTAGGAATACTTCACGCATTGCGCCAAATACAGTGCGGTCGGCGCGGCGCTGCGGCGGAAGTTAAAATTATTAAACCACATTTATGTTTGTTCTTTCATAATTTTTTCGCTCAATACTTAGAAAGGGATGGCCTCGTCCACACAGAGATAGGTTTTTGGAACTTAACTTTTGCGCAAAGTTCCGTGAACTTTTGCTAGTAGTGTTGACAGGTCTGTTGCAAAAAATGTGTCCAACACGAGTGAACGTGTCTTATGCACCCCTCCCGCTCCGGCACGCATGGATAGTGTGGAAACGTTTAGGCATACGAGTTTGCGGAAACTCATGCAATTATTGAGAATCTTCGTTGCAACAAAATGAGTGTGGAAAATGATTTTTTGGAATATTGACAAAAGCCATTCTCTGGCACCTTTGACAAACTTGAACAAGTTTCCCAGTTTAGTTTTTTCCTCACTTCAGAAACCTGAAAACGTCTAGCATTGAAAAGAATTTACACTATCTTTAAAAGAAAAGAAAAAACCTCTCTACCTTTATAGAAACTGGAAAAACATCAAAAAGAAAAGTGGGGGAGTGGGCTTGTGTGTGAGGGTGTGTTAGGGTGTGTAAAATTGCATACTTAAATTTGGAAAGGGGTTAAAGCGAAGCAGATACTGTCGCATTGCAAGGCCGTAAGGTTTAACCATACCATTTATTTTTTTACCCAAGAATGATCAGTAACATATCTTTAAACGTTTTGGAAAACATTCTTTGTGGTTTGAAGAGAATCTCCCCTTTTTTATGGCTGTAAACGGACCAATGGACCTGCAAGCAGTGTGCAAAACTAAGCACCACGAAGCCTGTTTTCTCTGCAAACTTTCATTTAGGATCCAGTGGGGAAAAAAATATATATTACGTGAGAAATCAACGTTTCTTTTACTCGTCATTTTGAACTCGCTAGTCGAAAAAACTGGGCTCTCTTTAATCAAATGAGCCACTGAACTAATTTTAGTGCTCTTTAAGATCCAGTAACCTCTCAGTGTGCTTAATTGCACTAAATAACTTAATAAAGTTACGAAATTTCAGTGAAATATGGGAACTTTTTTAATATCCAGCATTACTTTTCTTTCGAAAGATATTGCTTTCAATGGTTGACTTAGGTACATACGTCGATATTTGTGTGGGATCAATGTTTTTGTAAGCGGCAAGTTTTAATTAACTGAATCTAATGTAAAGTACTTATATGTATAACACGCATTGTTCACTCATTTGTCAATCTTGAAGTTTTTCCTCATTTTTAAGGAGTTCACCGGAAAGTTTGATGGTGGTTATCTTGAAATGTTTCAGTTCTTACCTCGTTTAGTGGTCCATTTTGGCATATTGGACTCGAAAGAAGGGATGAACAACTTTAAATAGCAACAGAGTTCTTTTGTTAATAGAAAATACACTCGGAGCCAAAAAACGCAAACTGAGTGAAAAAAACGCAAAATATTTACCAGAGATCACATGGGGGCTCAATGTCTGTATAAGATTAATAAGGGCCGAGACTACAAAGAAGTGGATCGATTCTGAGAAATGGATAGGGAAGCGGAGACAGGGGACAAAAGCTCTTAGTGTTGAGGCATTCGAGCGCAGAAGGTGGTCTGTGTAACATTTTCACCGTTCGAGGCCGAAAGACGTCTGCGGTTCGATCGTCTTTTTTTCATTAAATCGGCATGTGCATCTAATGGGGAATTCTCACCCCTTTTCTCATCGCAGTGTTATAATCCTGAGTTAACACAGTTAACTGAGTCAACTCACTGGGACAAATGCCATCGTGACATTGTCAACAATCAGACCCTATATTAGCCGTAAAATTTCTCAATAAATCCTATTTGATTCACGGAGACTTTGATTTTTCTTGTGAGTGGGAAATTCAAGTTTCTCGTATCCAGTGCTAAACAATAACGATGATATCTTGGTTAAGCGTTAATTTCAGGAGTATCCGCGAATCATCTTCCATATACAGTTTTGAAGATTCGAAAAATATCAAAATGCTAAAATTCGTACCTTGTTTAGTCGTCCATCGTGGCATACCACCGTAAACTCCAACGGACTGAATGATGCATTAAGGTCATCAGGTTTTCTTGCAATGGATCGTATTCGATTGTGGGTTGATGTATCGTTTGGTTTAGAACAAAAGAAAATAACCTCTAACCAAAACGTTAGAATATTTGTCAGAATAGCTGAAAATGAGAAATTTTGTAGCAATTTCACTACTTTTGGCCTATTAGCACTCATACGAATCAAAAATCTATCACAAAAAACCCGTTCCGTCAGATTCCTCAATTGATTTTTGAGGCTATGTCAGGGCCGGATTTACCTACTTGCCGCCCATGGGCTGCCTGTATTTTGCCGCCCCCTTCTCATTCGTTCTGAAACTTCAATAAAAACCATCAAGTGAACGTGCCGGAGGGGGAGGGGTGCATAAGACACGTTTACTCGTGTTGGACACATTTTTTGCAACAGCCCTGTCAACACTACTAGCAAAAGTTCACGGAACTTTGCGCGAAAGTTAAGTTTCGTAAACCTATCTCTGTGTGGACGAGGCCTTCCATTTCTAAGTATTGAGCGAAAAAATTGTGAAAGAACAAACATAAATGTGGTTTAATACTTTTAACTTCCGCCGCCGCGCCGACCGCACTGTATTTGGCGGAATGCGTTAAGTATTCCTATAGTCTTGTAAGCGCCATGCGTTTCCCACCGACGCTACAGCTGCTGACCGCACAGTGTTTGACGCAATGCGTGAAGTATTCACGCAGTCTTGTAGGCGCTAATATGTGTTACACGCTGACCGCCGTCGCGCCGAGGGCTTCTCCTTTCCATCTCAAGTCCTCGCCACCATTGCCCTCTGCGCCGCGCCGTCTCATGCCAGATTGGGTGTTTGGTTTCTCTGTTAACTCGACGAATTAAAGGTACTGCCTCTTGTATCACCGAAAGACGGCAAAATAAGAAATAACTATACTCTCAGGGAATGAGAGATTATGTCGCCTTTTCTCGTTTGTAATAATTTTCTCTGAATCCGATTTTTTTTATACCTACCTTTAAAAAAATTGCAAAATTTGCCGTCCCCCTTTTGCCGCTATGGGCCGGGGCCCATGTGGCCACCCCTTAATTCGGCCCTGGGCTATGTTATGTTTTGAACCAATCGATATCGATACAATCTCACCCGTTTGATGTATCGGATACGATTTGTAGAACATTATGCATGGAAGAAATATGCGAACTTTTGCATGGAGTTATGACATTTTTACCACGAATGGCGGGGCGGCACAGGTTGGAGGTGAGTTCGAGAGCCACCGCTGTGCAGGGGCAGGACGGAGGTCAGCATTATTTCTGCATTATTTCAGAGCGCGGTTGAGAATTCGGGAATAAGCGCCGGGCGCCGGCTCTCGGAAGTCTAAATCATCCAGAATTGCTATCTAAGTTTGAGCCCGCCTTCCTATTTTATTCATCGTCCGGCCAAACCCTTGAATTTTCTCGCAGATCCTCGGCTTTTGAAAGTTATTCACCCCCTCCATGTTGCCGCCTTCAGAGATACAAATCGATGTCACTTAACAGGCAGTTGTTGATATCCATCCGTATAAAGAAAAGAAAGAAATATTGTAGAGGCTGATCGCGAATTAACTTTCGTGGCCATTTTATACCTCTTCGCACCAAGTTTCACAGAAATCGATCGAGCAGAAGCTGCTTATTGTGGGACAAATACTGCCGTGCTAAGGAAGAACGGCATAAGAATCTTCTGACGTTGCCAAATTTCCTTTGATAAAAAACCAATTTACAGAAAAATTTGTGAATATTTTTCCTCCAGTTTCTCAGATAATTTCATTCGCGGCCAGATCTAAATCATCTGCAAATATCAAGAGAAAATATTCATAAATATCCTCAAAAATGATTATTTTATTGGAGGAAATTTGGCAACGTGGCACAAAATTGGCGTTTTCCTCAGCGCGTCAGAATAGGACTCTACAAGGTGGTAAACAAGCCCCGTCAATTTACATACGTTGGCGCGCCTTCAATTGCATCTGATACTGTGCAATACTTCTGTGGCGGAATAGTTGCTCAGAGCGCCTTCAGCAGTGTCGCTTCGACTCCAGCGCGTGCGTAGTTGCAATTTTCCTCAACTGCGACGTCCAGGTAAAAAGCATGCATTCCTCAATTCGCGACGTTGCAAGTTTTTCACTGCCTATTCTATCTCGGTAAACTAATACGAACTCCTTAAAATCTTCCGTGATTTTTCCGAGGTAATAAAGATGAAAAATATTATTTTAATGTTCCAATCAAGCCTATTTGTATGTTTTCCTTAATATGGAAAAAGAAATATGAGTATAGAATCTTCGAACGAACAAAAGTGGATCCAAATTTTATAACTATTGAAGTAAACGGGTCCGAAGGGTTGAAGAAGCGCCAAAGAAAACTGACTGATAATCAGAGGTATATTCGGTTACTAACATCGGGTACTAAACACTATCAATAAGCATGCAAATCTGCGTGCTGGAATCGTAGATAACAGTTAAAGTTTGGAATTATTATTGCGAGAGCAGCCGGCGGGTTTGATACTAACTCGCTGTGGATGACTCGAATTAAGCTCTGAAGTTCTCATGAAAAATTTCATTCAATATAATCTGAATCTTCATGCCAACCGGAAAATTGATTCAATTCCTCAATGATGATCTGCACGATATCGTTTATTGAAATTCATTCGAACAAAGTTTTACGAAGTAGATTCGGTTTAATCCTCACACAAGAAAGTATGTTGACCTCAGTCTTTTTATTACACACATTGCAGTTTGACGCTTACGGTGTTTAGACAGGATTGGTGATTTTGTGGCATGCGCGACAAATTCAGCATACAACGGAAATTCTCATTACAGAAGTGAAAAGACATTCGAGCATGATATCCTTCCTTAGAGAATGCTGTTTGGAGCAACGCTCAGAGAGGCAACTGTAGAAGTGTTTCGTGTCTAATTGAGGAGCTTGGAGGACAAGGCGCATAAGTGCAGTTTTTGCTGTTTCGAGAAATACGTGTTTGAGGTTCCGAAATTACATGGATCCTTAAAGAAAGTTCAAACTGACTTTTTGATGCTTAAAAATTGGAATTTGCGAGCGAATTACTCACAGAAAATGCATTCAGGCTAGATTTACTTGAAATCAGTAACATCTCAGTTTTTTCAACAAATGCACTTATGGTCTTGTCCTCTAAGCCCCTCAATTGGACTCATCAGCAGTGCAGCGCAGCCCGATGCAATGTTCATAATTTTACTTAATACTTATTCCTCTAGCCATCTTAAAATTATTTCATACAGCTCCATCATTCATCTGAAGCTCTGACTGCATTCGACGCAATAGTTAATATGATTTTCCTCTTTTAATTTGTTTCAGGAATAGTAGTGGCGATGTGGGAGAGAGCTGGCTCGCTTTTCAAAATCGCCCGTCAAGGAAATCCAATAAAGAAACTACGGTAATCCCTCGAGCACTAAAAGTCGGTCAGTTAAAAAAAAAAAAAGAATAAACAAAAATAACTAAAAAAAAAAAAAGACAGAAAAGGAGAAACATATAGCTGTTAACTTTGTTCCCATCGGTGTTTAAATGTCAGTAACTAAGGCGTGAAGTTTCAATCGGATAATTATTCAGGAGCTAACCTTAGTTGCGTGCTATGATAGAGAACCAAATCTAGGAGTCCGGTAAAAAATGGCTTGGGGCTACTGGAGCGCTACGACGGTCTCGGACCGCGCCCGGTCCCCCCGGAGGGGCACAGCCCCCGCGCACTCGCACCTGCCCTCCTCGATGCCGGCACCGGTGAGCAACAACCCCGAGTCCCCCGAGGAGGAGGACTACCAGGCGGCGCCCCTTCAGCTTTCGCGGCGCCCCTCGCTGGTCAACATCGAGTTCACCGGGCCGCTGGAGGCGCCGCTCCAGCCGATGTGCAGCCACTTCGGGGGGCCCGCCATCCGCGACTTCCCCATCCCGCCCGACCTGCCCCTCGAGTTCCCGCCGGGCTTCTCCAGGGACGTCCTCAACCCCTCGCCGCCCATGTTCGGGCACAAGCACGAGCACGGGTGCTTCTACCACCAGACCGCCGCCCACGTCCACCACCACCAGTGTCTAGTCCACGATGTCGGCGCCTCCGAGGACGAGGACGGCGAGCCAGGATATGCAACAGGTAAGCTCCATCTTTATTTCTCATCCTTCACGCAGCAAGAGGGCTTGCGACGTCAAAGAAAAAGACGGAAAGGAGGGGTATCGGTGAAAGCTGCTTGTGAGCGCACCCTGAATTTTCCCTCAACATTGCGACTTTTTGCTCGTGATTTGATTATTTTGGCCTCTTATTCGTTTACTGGCCTAACCATGGGTCTGAAGACCGATTTTGGCGGGAAATGCGGGTTAATTGTCTGGTGTCATATGATCCGCATTTCTTACCAAAATTGGACCGAATTTATCAGAAAAGAATCAACCCATATTTTCGGAAAAATTGAGTTTAGAGTTGTTTTGAGTTTCACTAGCCGAAAATTTTCTTTTGCCAAAAATTGAAATTCTAAAAACGAAAATTGCTTTGTGAAAAGAGGGGTTAAAGTTTATTTTTTACATTGAGCCTTATGCAGGAATAAAACTTCAAACCTCTCCTTCTCAGTTTCAACTTAATGTGGGTTGGTTCCTTTCTGATGAACTCGGCCCAATTGGCCCTCAGATCTATGTTATTGTTCAGGCCGGTCTTAGACCCAATAAGAGATCGGGCATGACCAAACCCTCTCCTCCCCTTTTTTCGCTTCTCCATCTTCACTACTGCACCTAATATAAACAACCGATGATATACGCTCCGCCACTGCCTATCGTGCTTTCCAATGAATTGATCGATCTATGGCTCTTGAACCTGAGGTAAGGATCGGTTCCCAGGATGATAGCAGCGACCACGTCACTAATCGATTCTCTGTCCTATTTTTTAACGGGGAAATGTCGAAATACGACGATTCACGTTTCGCCTTGAACATTACTACCGTGCCAAGGAAGAAAGCCGTATAACATTCGAGAGTTGCCAAATTTCCCTTGATAAAACATGTATTTTTGACGACATTCTCGCAGATTTCCCTTTGAAATTTTCAGATGTATTAGATTAAATTGCGTACGAAAGTGCCTGAACATTTTGGAAAAAATATTCACAATTTTCCCTGTAAATTCGGTTTTTATCGAAGGAAATTCGGCAACGTCTGAAGGCTCATACGGAGTTCCTCCTTAGCTCGGCAGATTATTATGTCGCGGCGCTTATCCGCGGGACCGTCCGAATCTCCTTCGAGCGTTATCGCGTTATCCGAAGGGAGTAATAATAATAGGATCCCGCCGCGCCGCCAGTCATATCAGGACTTTTCATTCCTCGCGCGAAATTCCGGGCCGACTCGGAACAAATTGCGCGTGCACCCTAAGCGAGGCTGTTTGGAAATATCCGTCTCTCTGTTTGCTCGTTAGATCGAGCGATACCCTTTCCACAGGGATTTAACACTCGCAATTGACGTCAGTCCCTCCAGGCCGCCGAGGGGCCTCAATATCGTACGCACGAGGTTGCCTCTTTCATGACTCCGGGCGCTGTAAATATTTTAGCTCGAGATCGTAAATAGAAGTAATGGAAATTGAGGGACTTGGGCGGTCCGAGGAGCCATCTCTAATCGCTTTAGGCTATAACTTCGATTTTTATTGGGCCTCCATGCGCCTATGATGGACATTCCAAGTGGGTGGTGGCTGAATCGTATGAGAATTCGATTTAATTCGTTTGTATCAGCTTGGATTTGGTTTTAATCATAGATAATGGAAAGTGATCACTTCGTCGAAAAACCGATTTTTGGCGTTTTAACTGAGAAATCGCATACGACGTAGAGATCGTTCAGTCAATTATTAAAGGTCGTAATTTCGAGGAGAGAGGAAGGCTGGGGCTTTGTAGGAATTTTTCAGTTACCTCCTATTTTGTCTGGATTATTCTATTCCCACGCTTGCAACACATTGCTTTCATTTTAGTTAGGTTGGCAATAACTGCAACATGCGTAACTAAGTTAAGCACAGCAACGATCTCTCTCTCAATCAAAGTCGGAATTTACTTTCGGGTTAACCTCTCGGTTTTGCCAGCATTAACCTCAAGGCCCCATTTACGATACTCAGACGCCAACTTTTGAGTCATGCACGGCATCATACTGATCTTAGGCGATATTTAACTGATTGCAACAACATTAGGTGAAAAAAGTTTCCCCATCATTCAGAGGGACACCTGAAACCTATACCGTAACTTTTTTTTCTTCCATTTACGTACGAGATAGCACAAGTTCCTACGCTGTCTTATTATACGTCTGGATGTATTGCTGTGTGATCGAAAAAGCTCTTGGTAAATAGAGAAAGACCTATCCAATACGCTCACCGCCAAGGCTATATTAACTGCCCTTTCCTGGAAAAATGTGAGCGGGGAGTTCCATACAAGTGTAAGCCAATACTAGCTCTCGGCAGAGTGCTGTAAAACAAACTGAACCCGCAATTTCCACAATGTGACCCGCTAGTTCTGAGTGGATTTTCTAGAAATGAATAGAAGATAACTGGGAACCGAAAACACATTATCGGGGTGTAAATGCGGTCTTACATGTCGATCGGAGATAATGAGATAGGACGTGTAAAATGGATAGCATCTGCGAAGGCATAAATTTTACCGTTCTTTTGTCCAATCGCCGTTTCATTTGCAGAGTTTTCCTCCGTTTGCGTCTCTCGCTAATATTGACATATCGCTCCGGTCAGCTATTTATATTTTCGTACCTCTTCCTCTCTTTCCGCTTATGGTTTTTGCTGCCGGTGCGGCGTTCCCTAATTCTGTCGATTTGTCAAAAAAATAATAGTCAAATTAGGCACTTTGTCGAACGGAGGAAAAACGCCATATGAGCCTTCAGGCGTTGCCAAATTTTCTTTGATAAAGCAAGAATATTCAGGCACGCGTACATGAATATTTTTATTCGAATTTTTCAGATTATTCTGTTCGCAATTTCACATAGAGTTCTTAAAAATTTAAAGGACGAATATTCATAAGTTTCCACAAAAACAAATATTTTGTTGGAAGGAAGTTGGCAATTTTCGAATATTCATACGGCGTTTTCCCTTACCACGGCAGAAAATTCAAATTAGGCACTGTCGAACTTGGGGGGGGGGGGACGCCGTATGATCAGCCTATCTAATGTTTCCGAATTCGCAGAGAGAAAAAATTGCATTTTTGAGAAAGGTAATGGATATTTTATGTTGATACCTTCGGATACACGCAACAATAATTGAGATAGCCTCCATGCACGCTGGGCGTGTCGAGTTCCTTTGACATTTTTGCAGTGGTGAAAGCATAGCTAAAATGCGCTCCAGCCAGAAGTGTATTCAGCAAATGAGTAGTTTTTAAGGAGGATTGAAAACAAACAAATGGTAGGAAATAAAACATAATAATAAGAACTTTGCAAAACGATCATCCGGGTATCGGAACTTGGCTGTATTGAAAACGCCTTCAAATGCGGCGTGATACCTCACGCATTCCGGAGAGTTCAAATAGTTGTATCATTGCGCCTTAGAAATGCGACGGCAGATTACAATAATTGGAATTGCCTTCATACACGCTAGTCTTGTCGATTTCCTTTGACATTTTTGCAGTGGTGAATGCATAGCTGAAGTGCGCTTCACCTAGAATTGTATTTAGCAAATGAGTGGTTTTTATACGAGTATAAAAAATACACAAGTGGTACGAAATATAACAAAAAGAGCGTCAAAATTTGGTTCCAAACTCCTTCCCATTTGAGATCACTGCCAGGTTCAGGTCCTAAAATCTCCTTTAATGCAGTGGCGGATATCAATGTATATATTCTCCACCTGCAGAAACTTCACAAAAACAGTAGACACTGACCCTGAAAAAAGTGTTTTAGGATACAAAACATTGCTGTGACTTTCGAACGGAGGATATTTGTTGCCACCGTTTACCGGTTTTTCGCCGAATGGATAAGACTGTTATTTAGTGACAGGTTTGATCCACTTTGATTTTCGTTCTTTTGAAGGCGAAGAGATTTAAATTTACGGATTTTAACGTAACTCGCAACAGTATTAACTTATGTATGAGTTCAGCGCGGAAGTTCACAACATTTTTAATACCCTCTGCGAGAAAATTGGGCATGGTTTCGTGTGTTAAGATGGTTCAATTTTACCTTGTCTGTTGGTCTATTTATTGAACCTCAGACAGCTCTGTTTTAGCTGTTGATGAGCCGATAATAAATGGACCCACAAGTGCGTAATGGCTCATATTTGTGTATCTGAAAAGATTCTTGGTAAAGAAGTGTCATGGTCACAACTCAGGGTGTGAAACTGCACCGCGAGCAAAATTTGGCGACCGTGCTCCAACCCACCGCCTTGGCAATGACAGATTGCAGTGAGGATTTTGTGTTTCAGACTACTCCCACTCACAAAATTAAAATGCTGCCAACATATAGGCGAGGAAGTTTAAGCGGTAACAGTAAACGCTGTCATCATCAAAACTTAGGTAATTTTTTTCAGCCGCCAACTATCGCGATTTGTTTGCCCGACAGAAGTGTCCTTCTCTCCCCCTCTCGGAAGATCATTCTGAAGGATTACTTGAACCGGCTTTAATGTTGGACTAACATCGCGTGAGTTTAGCATACTTTTTTGTGCACTTATTTTCACAATATGAGAACAGAGTCACTCAATGTGGAAGAGTAAACAGGAACTCTGGCCAATACCTAACTTCGGCTTTCGTAGAACGAAGAAATATGAGAGAGGAGGGTAGGTCTGTTTTTGTTTTATTATTCTTTATCCCGTTTTTGTTTCGTAGAAACAAAAAAAATAACGGAACAAAATTTTCCATTTGAATAAATATCGATGATGGACGTAGACAAATGTTTTTCCTCCTGTTAGTCCAATCAAGCGAGTCCACCATTTCATTTTAACAATACCAGACCAAACTGTAAAACATTTCCTCCTGATTTCTTTTACCCTCACTACACAAATATGTTTATCAATTAGCAAAGCGAAAATATCCAAACCAAACAATTATCCTGACTTTTAAGAAATTAGAATAAAAAGCTAATTTGAATAGTCATTAAAAGATACTTATTAACTTTTAAACTTTTCATTTTTTGTCATCGTCACAGAAAATAC